ATGGGGCAGCGCGCGGCGGTGGCGGCGGTGGTGGCGGAGGTGGATACTCTGGAGGTGGAGGCAAACCCTCGTCCAGTTACGGAGCTCCCAGTTCCGGTGGCGGCGGCGGTTTTGGAGGAGGTGGATACTCTAGTGGTGGTGGTGGAATATCTTCAACTTACGGTGCACCCTCGGGAGGTGGCGGTGGATACTCCGGTGGTGGCGGCGGAGGATACTCTGGCGGTGGTGGCGGATATTCCGGTGGTGGCGGCGGAGGATACTCTGGTGGTGGTGGCGGCGGATATTCCGGCGGTAGCAGTTTCGGAGGGTAAGATATGATAACGCAGAATTATTTAATAAAAAAAGACTGTTTTTTTGTTTTATGCAAGACATCAGTTCAATGAATTTTTTTTTCAATATCAGTTTCACAATATTGCGGTTCTAATTATACAAACATCTTTAAGATATTGAAATTATAAAATTCGCTTATTTAATTTGGAGTATATTCATTTTTGCAACTTTGTTCAATTAAAAAAGTTAATTTAGTTATAATTCCTTATTTATTCTCCGTACTTCTGTTCGTTATCAGTGATTTTTTTCAATCTATCAATTAAAAGTTTTCCTCATGATTTACTGCCGTTATCCTCAGCTCTGGTGGTTATTCCGGAGGCGGTGGTGGCGGTTATTCCGGCGGTGGTGGTGGAGGTTACTCCGGCGGTGGCGGTGGCGGTGGCAGACCGTCGTCGTCTTATGGTGCTCCAAGTGGAGGTGGCGGACAGAGTTACGCCAGCAATGGAGGATACCAATACTAATCCAGATATGTGTTCACCCGGCGAGACGATCTCCGTGCTCAATCGCGTCGGCTTTCACCAAATTTTCCGCATTGAACAATGCAAATCGAATCTATTGCAATCTCAAGACTCGTCAGTTCGATCGATCAATTTGATCGACTACGTGTTATCAAAAAAGAGACGTCGATCCGAGAGGATAGTTTTAATCAAAAGATGATGGCCTTGATGCCCGCGGTTACGAAGAGATAATCTCGGACATGATAACATTGTGAATAAAGATCAGAGAAGATCAACGCTGAAGGCATCCCGTTGTTATACCATCAAATGTGTTCTTCAACAATCACATGGATATATTTAAATTTTTCCACGGGAACATCTGTATGACGACAGCTGACGGGAGAAACGTGCGAGGATCGTTCGCCGCATCGTGAAATTCGTGCTAAAGATTTAACAGCGATGAATTCTCAGTCGGGAAAGTTGTGAGCGAAGAAATACTCGTCCCGATGGCAGGCGCGTTCCCGCGAACGATCGAAAGAATAAGATAGTTATGTTTTTTTTCCTTTCTTTAATGTTATTATCATTTTCATATACTGGCTTCCAGGAAAGCGTCTGCTTATGGAACGTTACTTCTGACGTCGAAGAAAAGCGAAGAAAGAAGAAGAAGAAGAAGAAAACGAAGAAAGGAAAACAAACGAGAAAACTCGATTTTCCACATTCGGAGCCTGTAACTTATTTATTTTGTAAAGACGCTTTTTTGTACTAATAATAAAGCCGCTATGCTGATAAGGAATCTCGTCAATTTATCAACTTTTTGTTCATTTCATCCCGTTTCGTTGTACTAGAAATTAATCTTTTTTTAGGAAATGTTCTACCTTTATTTCATGCGGTCTTTTTAATTATATAATTAATTATCTTCGTGTTGTAAGTCAATCTAAGTTAAAGACCTGAATTCCGGACTTAATCTTATCTTTTTGGTCACGCAACTATTTTCTCTTTTTTCAAATAATAAAATCTCTTCATGGTTGATTTCGTCGGTTAACTATCTCAATTTTCGACGGAACGGTTCCCGCTTTAAGAAGAATTCTTTCTAAATCTCTACACCCAAAGAAAGATGATCGGTGAGACGAAGAAGAGCTCGGCATAAGGTTAGTCGGCCGACACGGTCGATTTATCGATTCTCACGGCTCGGATACCGGGAGGGTATGAATAACTAAGAGCTCTCTTTCTGATATCGAGGACTTTGCGAATGTGATGACGCGAGTCCTGCTCCGTAATCACGTTGTCGGTCAACAAAACTGAAATGTGCGATATGCAAAAGCTCTTTGGTCGATAGTCGTTGGTTCTTATTTTAAGATCATCTTAAGTAACATCTTAAGATGTGTTGATACAACTCTGACAGTATTCATAGTCCTTTATTTCAAAACAATATCTTAAGTAATAAATCTTAAAATACTAATACGACTCTGTGATTGTTTCATGATATCTTAAGACAATCTTAAATATAAAAATCGACTATAAATACCGACCTTAGCCATTGAAAAATTAAGATACCTCAAGGTTTCTTCTGGATGTGATCTGTAAATTTTAAAATACCGTTGGGTGTACTCGTTTTATCCGTACAACACGTAGTATTATTAATATTTGATATTACGTTGCATCTTCAGAGGTGAGAAACGTAAATATGATAAAAACGTAAAGTTCAGTAGGCATACAGTAAAAGTAAATAAGTCAACATAACAATTTTACCGGAAGAACCTTCTAATCAGCTCCGTCGTTTAAACGAACATGCAGTTATGTACGAAATTGTGTTATATGCCGCGTTGACGAATTGACACAAGTACCACTTACTGATTCCTCCAAATTTTATTTTTTCCATTCCTTTTAAAAATTTAACTCTTTGCACAGCTTAGGTGTATATAATTCTCAACCCTATTGAAATATCAGAGTTCATGCTCTTTTAAAGGATGCAAAGGTTATCGGTGATATTCAAGACTTAGAAGGAATTCAACTATGTGTTCTTTGAAGTTTATTCATACAACGATCTTATCATATTTAAGTTGCTAATCCGTCCCGTCTGCGAATTTATAATTCCGAAGAAGTTCATGTTTTCTCAAGTATTCCTTGTTGGAGCTTGTCTTACCTGCTAGTTATTTTTTCAAAACGTTAAACGTTGCTTGCCAGTCTTCAAGGTAAATAAATTACAACTCTGCCTTGGGTTGTGCTTGGAGAAGAAGTAATACAGGAGGTACTTCAAAAGCTATCTTTTAGTTGTCGACTACACGAACTCGTCTCGAAACTATATGGAAACCGCACATTGCTACGTTAAATATGAGCCGCCCAACATTTTTGTACACCGTTTATTTTTAACATTTACAATCAACATCTCTTTCGTTTGTCAATTATACACGTATAATGTCATATAATACAGTAACGCTTCTGCAATACATATACATGGATATACTCCTCCGGGCAGGATGGGGAGGAAAGGGAGAGGGTGAGTCAGGGGACGCTTTGCTTTTTACATATTTAATAAGTTATTCTACATAATTAGGTAAGTCACCCCGTGCGTTTGGGACGCGCAACATTAAGTACGCCATTTTGGTCTCCAAGCGGGAAAGTGAACGACGATCTCGGTTTTGTTGAAGGATCGTATCTGCTAATTCTTATTCGAGCTTCGACTTCGCATTTTCGTATTCGCACGACACAGATTGGCTGTCGACTCGCGATTTTATAATACTTGCAACGAAACAACGTCATTCTGCGGGAAGTGATAGATCCTTGCACGAGCTTCTTAAGAAATTGATAAAATTCATTTCCTTTGAATTAAAAAAATTTGTCAAAGGCAAAAACGAAATAATTTTGCAAATAGCAG